TTTACTCTCCTGGCAGTTACATATGAAATTGTGGCAAACTGTATATGTTTAAATCTCTGAATTTAAAAAAAAACATGGAGGCAAATTTTCTTTTAAAATGTTTCAGTCTATTTTAAAGTAAAAGAGTACTCTATCATCATGTCCTAGGTTCTAAAGGTTCTTATTAAATTTTGTAACACTGAAACATTTTTCTAGAATCCTTCATGTGTGAACAGATTCCCCTCCTTTAAAAAAAATTCACAGAAAATTGCTAACCCATTTTGTGGCGTGATGGCATGATTTCCAAGTTTTTATAATGCAGTAGAATGCTGTAGAATCAAAAAGTCATTTCTCCATAGTAACTCCAATTCAAATGAACAGCAAGGTGAAAGTATTTATATGATAAGAAGCTGAACTAACATTAAAAACCTACTTTAGAGAAAAGTACAAAATAAAGTGTATGTTGCCACCTATAAGTACTTGTCACTTATAAATTAATTCCTCAGCATATTTGTTTAGTGAACGTTCAAAGCTGTCCACCTGCATACAGAGTCCTCATTATCTTGTTCAGCCTTCCAGCAGTAAAAATATAAGTTGCTGATCTCTGACTTTTCTTGTATAATATACCTGCCAGACAAGATTTTCAATATTTTTTCTTTTTATGTTAAAATGAAATATATTCTGACTTTGTTTCACAAAGATCAAATTATGTATTATTGTTGTGGTTGATTGAGTATAATTTTTTTGTATTTTCCACTTATTTCATACGAATAGATTAGAACTGTGATTTTTTTAAATCCGATGATATGGGAGTACTTCCTGTATCAGTTGCTTAGCGTGTGCTAAGATGCTTAGCATGTTCTGAGATGCTTAGCATGTGCTGAGATGTCTTATTAGTAGAAAAAGAAGAAGTAACAGTTGCAAGATTTAACAACCCCTGCATGGGCAACAACAAAGCAAACAGGCAAAGGGCTTTGAGATGAGGCAGGGTCCCAGAGGCCCTGCTGCCCCAAGGGGTTACCCCTATAATTGCTGAAGGCCCAGGAATATCTAGAAGGACACAGGGAGGGGCCGGCAAGGGCGGCCAGGATGGTGGAGAGGGGTTTCAGGGCCGCAGTTCTCTGGCAAGTTGAGAGGGAAGTGTTTGAGTGACTTACCCGCGGATACAGCTCTGATGGTGGACACCACCTGTATGATTGTCCCGCCTAATAGCAGGGCTTGGAACTGGAAGAAACGAAATCCCAGTCATAAGCATTCAACAGGAAATGTGTACAAGCTTGATGGAAACAAACAAACAAAAACAACAGAGCTCAGAAAGAAGGGATAGGGTCCCACACAGGCTCTGAGAGCATCCGCACCCCACTCAGCTCTCCCTGAGGCCTCCTGCCAATTGTGAGCCATCAAGTGGAATCCCAGGAAAGGCTGTGGGCAGTTTGAGGGGAGGGGCGCGTTTCATTTAGGAGGGGATGATGCCAACATCATCAAAGGCAAGCAGCCGGCATCAAGGCTGCGGGATCTCCACCTCACCTGAAGCATGGCCAGCGATCTCCTGAGTATCAGTCTTCCCGCCTCAGCTCTGCCCCGCCCAGTGTCACGCCTGCACTTTGCTCCTGGAGACATGATGCGAAAGTGCAGATGTGATTACTCACTTTCCTTCTGATCACCCTTCGGTGATTCCCGTCACCTTGGAGATGAAATCCGAATTTGTACCTTGTCAGCTGAGGCCCTCATGACCTGGCCCTGCCTGATTCCCACCCTGGTCTCCTGACCCTCCCCGACAGGAGCCCAGCCGCCACCCATGCAGAGCGTGACCTGTTGGCAGGCAAGCCTGCAGCCTGGCCTGCAGCACTCTGCTGGGAATGGGTCCTCCCCCACCAGCTCTTCATCTACCAGCCACGGTCCACAAGTAGACATCTTTCCTCCAAATTTCCAGGATGTGTTAATTTAATTTTTTTTAATAGACAATACATTCACTTAATTCAGAAACATAAAAATGTGTACGGTGAAAATCCTCCCTCCTTCCCTTGTGTCCCCATTTGCCTGGGGCCCCCATCTCTGCTCCGCATCGGGCAACCCACCCCGTTTTGTCTTGTTTGTTAGTTTAGTGTCATCCGTATGACTCCAAAATGTCTTTAGGCAAATATAAGAAAATGTGACTCTATATTCTTATCTGCACCTCAAAAAAAACAGCATATGATATGCATTCTTCTGAGACTTTCCTTTTTTTTACTTATTATATATTTTGGAGCTGTTTCCATATCAGCGCATCAGTGTTTCATTGTTTATTTTAATGGTCCCCTATTGATTGACATTTGGATTGTTAACTCACCTAAGTATAATGATTTTGGATATATATAACATACAATATATCTAACATAATATATAATATATAGTATAATACAATGTCAATTGTGTATTATAATTATGTATTTTATAATTTATTACACACATGTTATACTAAATAACTGCATGTGTCACTGAGATCATTTCGTAGACCTATACATTTCATTCATCCCCAGGCTCTACCAGATGGCGTGCCATGTGAGCACACTGTTTTATAGTCATTGAGTCTCTGGTCTGTCTACCTTCCAGAAAGAAAGTTCCTTGAAGGCTGGTATAGTGTCCTTTTTTCCCCTGTTCATTTCCGTGGGCCCAGTCACTAGCAGAGTGATGGCACTAAATATTTAGTGAATGAATAAATGACCAATGAACACTTCCAACGTCTGAAGTGGGTAAACACAACAGGAAGAATCCATTGATCAAAAACTGGCCGGGGTGAATGCACAGACAAAATGCCGGAGCCAGAGAGAAGATTCCCTTCATCTGGCAAATGAAAGCGATGTAGGCAAAATATTCTGCAGTGCTTGGCACGAAGCACTCAATAGCTCTGTGTTGCTAACGGTGCTGTTGTTACTACAACTGCTCTTTGCCTGTCCCTGCCCTACCTGGGCTGGTCGTTCTTCAAAGACTAGAGGGATACATCCTGGCGATGCTCTATGTATTGAAACCTTAGTTCATTAATCCCGTATCTGACACCTGTTTCCTGCATGAAAAATGTCATTCCTATGATCTTCATGGGACATGAAATCATAAATTTCTATTCTGAGGACTTTATCTAATATGTATCTATTTTCCTCATTCGGGTTTCCTAGAATTCTTTCCAGCCTATGCCTCTCCAGAGCATTTGGCTAACTGAATGTGTTTCAGATTTTCGTGGAAAGTCTGAGTCACTACGGTGAAACAAGGTTTGAAGTAACCAGTTAAAGACCAGTTGGAAGCTCCTGAGGGCTCTGATCATAATCCCTTATTCACCCTGTATCCGTAA